CAGTGCATACATGGCTAAAAAGAACACATCTGGAGAGCTGCCGAGTGACAGCAGCCACTGATGTGAAGACACCCATCTCCTCTGCTGCATCTTCACCGGCCAGCTTGCACACTCACAGAGGATTTACTACCCATGAGTATCCAGAAACAGTTGTGTGATGCTGTATTGAGAGGAAGCACTTCAGACAGGCAGTTCTGTAGAGAAACTGAGCCCTTTAGAAGTTTTCCATACTATCTCAAGGAGTCTGCTAACGTTTGAATACCTGATGTGAGAAATGATGAGGCTGGCCACTGAAGTTCAGCTGAGGAAAGGTTATAGCTGCATTTATGCAGTTCAGATTCTTTAACTTAGGGAGCAGGGACACCTTCCACTGGACCAGGCTGCTCAAAGCCCCATCCAGCCTGGTCTTAAACATCTGGTGATGAAGCATCTGACCCATATCTCTGGGTCATGTAGATATACATATCTATGTATATACACAGAGACAGAACCTAACATCACGAGGTCATGGCTCAAAGTTCTTTGGGGTCTGTGAACACTGGTGCAAATAGTGGTTTCAGTGGTGAAGTAGCCACAGGGAGAAACGAGCCATGTGCTGCAAATACAGCTCTGAACAGCTCCTGGACCAGCCATTTTCCAACTGCAAGTGAGAACTGGACACCTTGGGATATGACCAAGAGCCTTCACTTGGGGTATGAGCAAGAGCCTTAACTCATCACTGACCTTTTTCACTTTTACAGAGTATGCATTTAATGTTTCCTCTGAGGGAAATGCAAAGTATTCTTCTGTACTGGGCTCTCAAGTGAAGTTTAAAATGTCTGGCCTTGTCCTGCAAATGTCAAAGGCAGGCCTGCTATTTATCTCATGCCTTTAGCTCCTGCGGAGGCTATTGAAAAATAAGGGTGCTCAGAATCTGACAAGGATGAGATCATTAACTTGATATGAAATAACTTATTGTGAGTGGTTTTGGAAAGCCCCTTATTTCTTCCTTGGGAATGATCAGATCTTTATCAGAAGTATCCTCCACAAATGGAGCAGGCTCCTGTATAACTCACTTGGTCCATCTGCTGGTCTGGGGACTGAAGATTTGTAGTCCAAGTGCAGGCTGTTTCTTTCCTTCCTTATATAGCTTCGGAATTTTCAGTCAGCTTAGAAGCTTCTCTGCTAGATTAAATAGCTTAATTTGTCCACAATTTCATTAAAATGCATGGAAGTATGGAATATTTTTTCCAAGGCCCCTAAAAATAAGAATAAATTTAGGAAAGAGAAAATAGATTTTTGGTCATCTTCCTAATTCCAGTAAGATAAATATTTATACCATTAGACAGATAAATAGCAGAGGTATACACACTGACCCATGCAACATAGTCTCTGCTACAGAAGAGGACTGACTATATTCAAGAGAAAGACACTGGGGGAAATGGCTTTATTCCCCTTTCTTTGAAGAGTCAGCCTGTGGCTGTCACTCCATCACCACACCCGAGACCACCAGAGAGATCAGCTCTCTAGAAGGAGGATCCTGAAGGCCACCAGCACCAATGGGATGTTCCAACTCATCTGAGCTGCTGTCATTCATAAATATTTCATGTGCTCTACAACTCAGTGATCTATTTTACTCCAACAAAACTATACTGTTGGCTTATTGTACCTAGTAATGGAAATTGCAGTTTTCCATGGGAAGGATGAAAAAATAATGAAAAAAAAATAGAAAATAAGCTGATGACTGTGTTAGAAACATCACCAACTAAGTTTGTAAAAATCTCTCATTAAGTCTGCTGTTTTGAAAACATTAAATGTTTCCAGCCTAGGGAGGTCATCACTAAATAAATAATGTATGTGCCTCATACACATTTATGTGAGGTCCAGAATTACCATGTTGGGAAACCAGTATCATTCCCTGTTTCATTTTGTAAATTAAAGTTGTCATTCTGAGATTGCAGCATCTGTGGATGTGTGAACTGGGCTCTGGGCTGCAGGCAGGATGAACTAGTGCTACTTGATTTTTGCAACCTGCAAACCTGAGAATCTGAAGTGTGAACGTGTTTGTAGAAGGACCTGTTGGAGAAAAGGGAGTTAGTCCCTGCTTGTAGATTTTTCCACATTAAGTCCCTATTCATTCACAAGTCATATGTTATATCAGCATGTTTGCCACCTCCTGTCTTCACTGGAATTTTACTAATAATAGGAGTATGCTCAAATGATTTAAGAAGCCTTGAAAAATTAAATTTACATGAGCCTATTTAAATGGTTCACTACGTCCCCATTTGCTTCTTTTCTCTTTTCTTTTCTTTTCTTTTCTTTTCTTTTCTTTTCTTTTCTTTTCTTTTCTTTTCTTTTCTTTTCTTTTCTTTTCTTTTCTTTTCTTTTCTTTTCTTTTCTTTTCTTTTCTTTTCTTTTCTTTTCTTTTCTTTTCTTTTCTTTTCTTTTCTTTTCTTTTCTTTTCTTTTCTTTTCTTTTCTTTTCTTTTCTTTTCTTTTCTTTTCTTTTCTTTTCTTTTCTTTTCTTTTCTTTTCTTTTCTTTTCTTTTCTTTTCTTTTCTTTTCTTTTCTTTTCTTTTCTTTTCTTTTCTTTTCTTTTCTTTTCTTTTCTTTTCTTTTCTTTTCTTTTCTTTTCTTTTCTTTTCTTTTCTTTTCTTTTCTTTTCTTTTCTTTTCTTTTCTTTTCTTTTCTTTTCTTTTCTTTTCTTTTCTTTTCTTTTGAATGCAGCAAGGTATCCACACGGTGCCAGTACACACGAGCTGCAATGTACCGGGGAGTCAAAGGTCCTCAGGAGTGGCCTCTGCCTGAGGAGCTGACCAGGGTGAAAGGCCTGAAGCTCAGGAGTTTTGAGCTCAGTAGCTGTTTTTCAGCCACCAGCTATGTGTGCATCCCCCAGCCATGCAGGCAGCACGAGGGGACGGGCAGGACACGGGCGGCAGCGCTGGGCTGCGGCTCAGAGAGGAGCTGACACCAGCTCGGTGAGGTTAACCTGCCTGAAAGCAGCAGTCAGCTCTGACAGCCCAGTTCTCCAGCTCTGCTTCCTCCCCAAGACTGGCCTGGGCACCAAATTTATGTGTGGCCCAGTCATAAGCCAGAAGAAGTCAAAGTAAGATTTTAAAATTAAAACGATAATATTGCTAAATTCACAGCAATCCCTTCTCTGGTCTGATCTCTCTCCTTACAGAAGTGCATATAGTAAGTATTTCAGTAGACTTTTTCTAAAGAAAGACAATTAATTGTATGTTCATCAGCACGTTGTATCTAAAACACTCAGAATCCCCTTTAGTATCTTTTTTAATTCAGTTTGATAGATTTTGTTCTAAAATTCTTACAAATACACAGGGAGTTAGAAGTTGTTATAATTTAAGGCAAAGATACCCCAGAGGACATGACTGATCTTATCTACATTTGCTAAATTGGAGTGAATTAGGCAAATACTTGGCAGTAATACTATTTTTATTTTAATAGTTTGATGAACAAAGATAGTCTGAAAACCATGGTAGATTGTTTAGCTGTTTCAGTGTAAGGTTGTGAAGAGGCTAGCACTGATGAGAAGGCTGAAGTTGTCTTCTCATTTAAATTTTACCTGCTAAAAAGTCAATAATCATTGATCTTATTTTCTTAGAGGATTTCTGTTCCCTTGCCCTTGTCCAAAAGACAGAGTTCTTAGGTACTCTACCTTGTGTTTTATATTGTTAACTCCTGACCTTCAGAGGAGCTTCATTAATTGTCTTTGAAGTGAACATAATTGACTTGGATATTCATAAAGCTTCTGAATAAACCCTTCATAAGAGAATTTTAAGAAAATTACAAAGTTAAGAGTATTGTTCAAGGTGTTCAAAGTGTCATTTTGAATTAAAAATCGGTTCTGTGAGGAAAAGGGGAGCAGTTGTGCCCTGATTTGGCTGGGACAGCATCCCAGGCCAGCCATGGTTCTCAGGCCATCACAGCCTGGAGCCAGCCAGGGCAGCTGCTCCAGGTTGGCTCCAGGTGTCTCCCATCCCATCAGTGTCAGGCTCAGTATAAAGAGGGAATTTTGCTAAGGTCAGGAGCTGCTCCTGCTTTGGCTATGGCTACTTGGGCTTCTCTTGAAGATCACTTCCTTGTTTATTGTGACCAATGTAGATTTGCTGGGCTGAGTATAATGTTATATACTTTATATTGGTATTAATATTAGTTTGGCTGGTTCATTGAATCTGTTTTCATTTCAACTTGCAGCTCTCCTCTGCTTCTCTGATCCCCTTCTTAGCTGGGCAGGGGTCACTGGGGCAGGAACAGCTTCTGTAGTTTAGCCCCAGATATGGGTGTTTGTTGTTGAACTCTGGAGGGGTCATGTTAGTCCTTTCCTCCAGCTTGTCTGGATGGCAGCCCCACCCTCAAGTATACCGAGGGTATAATTTGATGTCCTCTGCTAACGTGATGAGACACACTCCACTGCTGCCTCCAAGACAGTTGCTAAAGGTGTTTAAAAGGACAGGTCCCCATGCAGGCCCCTGAAGTACTCCCCCTGACACTTGCCTCAAGGCAGGGTGCAATGTCTTAACTGCTGCCCTCCAAGCCCCATCATCCAACCACATATTCACTTGGATAGTTTGCACCCATCCAGATAGTAAGATCCCAGCTTTGCTAAAAGGGAATTTGGAGATGGTGTTGAAGACCATGCTGAAGTCAAATCATAGAACTGTTTTGGTTGGAAGAGACCTTTAAGATCATCAAGTCCAACTGTCAACCCAGCACTGCCAGATCAGTCAAGTGGCACCCACTGCCCTCTCACTCAAAACTCCAGTCATTCTGTCACAGAGGGCATTCGGGCTGGCCAAGAAGGATTTGCCCTTGGTGATCTGTGCTGCCTGTACCTGCCGACATCAAGGCATTCAGAACTGCTTTCTCTGCAGCTTGACAACTTCCCCTCAGTTATGAGCTGCACTCTTAGTCATAGTCTGTCCCTGAGGATAAAAAAAATATCTTTTTTTGGTCTTCCTATAAAAATTTAAAGCTCTTTGTGCACAAGAAATTTCCCCCTGACTTTCTGAAGTAATTTTATCCTTGCACATCACTCCAGCATACCCACCTACTTGTAATGCCTATGACAACTTTCAGTGTTTTCTAAGATTCCTTTCTTCTTTCTTAGAAAGATAGCTTGTCTGTGAAATGATCAAAATTGTCTCTGTGCCTCTCTCATCATTTCTTGTTGAGTGGAGTTTGCTTAGTATGACTCACAATATTCTTTTTATCAGGAGATCACAAAGTAGCTACCACAGTTGCCATTTTTGCAGCCTGGAAAAATGTGCCAAAATTAATTTAGTTTTATATTTATGTGGAGCCACATTGCTGAACACAGGTTTTTTCATCTTGAGGAGCCACCTTGAAGCTTGCAGATTAATCTAAATTTTTAATTCCAGCTTCCAAAGAGGTTAAGGTGAATCAGAGTTTTGGTCACGTCCTTGTGTGTGTGATAACCTCACAGTTGCATGCCTAAGTTAAAACCAAACTGCTCCAGAAATGTTTCAACCATATTCTAGCAAAAGTCAGAGGTCCAAATACCTCTTTTTCAGAGTCAACAGCTACAACTTCAGTTTTGTGATAGTAGTTTGCTGAAAAATGGTTAAGAGGAATCCCTCAAAAGCCATTAGATCGCAAGCTAACTGGCTCTGCATTCCTCCCCTTTGGTCACAGAGCTACTGATATCCTGAGCGTGGGCTGGCTCTGGGATGCACAGTGAGGGAGTTGGCTGTATTAACCAACTGGTAACTGGGCGTGTTCTTCATCTGCCTCTGGAGGACATTAGCACTCCTGTAGTGAGCACTTCTGGTAGGGATGCCACTGAGCTGCTCTCCACTGCTGCAGGGGCAGGCAGCTTCTCTGAAGATCTCAGGGGACCCTTCACAGGATTGTTTTTATGGAGCCAGACTCTCTGAGATCCAGAGCAGAAGGGTGCACAGCAGTTCTCAGTGCCTCTTGAAACTCCCCAATCTGATGGGGAATGGACACAGCTGAACGTGGCAGGGGAGTGGACCTTGCACAGAAAAGGTACTCAGGCAGTCACATGGAAAAAATGTATTTCAACCTAAATTGTGCAAAGAAATAATCCCTGCACACTGATGTTGCTTGGTAACAGGTTTTCACTCTCAGAGTACTTGTGATGACCTGGACTGCGGTGCTGGCCCCACTGCTGGCTGTGTGAAGCAGGGTGGTGATCTCAGTTAGGTACCAGCCCGCGGAGCTGTGCACCCTCACAGCTCCCCTCAGCTGGCAGCCTGGGTGGGGAGGGGCAGGGAGAGGCAGTGTGCCACAGAAACTGGCCACTTCCCCTCCTTGTCCTGTCCTCTGCCTCCAGGGAGGGGTTTTCCTGTACTGTGGGTGGTTCACGGACCAGCATCTTTTATCATCATTAGACTCAAAAATTAACATTCATCAAAATGAGGTGTAGAACCACTCAAACAATCTGCAGTACAATCCCCTTGACGTGCCCAGAGACTCCCTTGTGCTTTACAAAAATCAACAGCCATTCAGGCTTCAATATATAATAAAAAGTGGTTTCATGCAGACATCTATTTTGGCAGTTATTCAGAAAGCAAATATTTTATAATTCATAGCTGTCCAAGAAAACAAGAAAATGTGAAAGGAAGCATTTAGGGATATTTATTAAAGCCCAAGGGCTATAATCTTCTAAAATACAAAGAATTATGCTTGAGGATTTACCTTCACACATTTACATGTTAAAGAATCTTTCATTTGCGTTTGAGTTGTTTTGTTTTTTTTTTTTTTTATTTCTGAAAACTCTGATATGTTTACTGCTTTTTGTACCTCATGGTTAAAAGAAAATTAAAGGTTACTCTGAGAAAATCCAGACAGTCATTTCTGTACTTCTTGCTTCATAAATCAGTCTTTTTACAGCTAAAGAGATTCTCAGGCTTATTTATAAAGCATCAGTGACATTCAGTGTTCAGCAAAAGTACTGTAAGTAAATCACTTTTACATGTTGTACACAGTCCTTCACCTTTAGAGTTTGCTTCTTTGGGGCTTTTGGCTTTTTTTTTTCCCAACTAGAACTGTAAGGTTTTGACATCTTCTTTTACTAGCTGACCACATATATATACACATATATATAGTGCTTCTAATTGGAATTTTCTGACTGTTTCCTTCTAGGCTGTGGATATTCTCCTGCAGCATGGAGCTTATGTCAATGTTCAGGATGCAGTTTTCTTCACCCCACTGCATATTGCAGCCTATTATGGCCATGAACAGGTACCTAGAGGGGGGAATTTCAGAAAGCTGAGAGCTGGAACACCAGAGAAGCTACAGGTTTAATGTTAGGTATTTTTGCTTAATATTCCAGAGGGTGCTACCATGAAAAGGCCTCATATACTGAGGTTACACTTCTAAGCAAACCTATGGTTGCTTTGAGAATCTTTGAGTATCAACAGGAAATGTCTACACTTTAATCCTCTGTGCTAGACCCCAGCAAAAATTGTTGTCTTCCTCTATAGACCTCCTGAAACAACTCATTGTCTTGCTAGCTTTGATAACCCATCAACAGACCTGATCCCAGAGGAATATTTAATTTGATATTTACTCATCCCATGTTTCTGACATTGCATAAGGAATGTGAGTTCACTTGCTTAAACCTCTCCAAGGAAGTGAACATCACATCCTAGTAATAATTAGATGGCAATTCTATTGGTTTTCCTTGGAATTTACAAAATAAATTGTGGCCACTTTTAAGTTAATGGAAAAAAATGATCTTTTAGAGAGCAGGATTCTCTGTGAAGTACTGTGCCCATGACAAGTCCAGCTGTGCTTCATTCACCCAGATCATGGACTTACTGAAATACAGTCTGAAGTTCTGACCAAAGCTGACATTCAACCTCTCAATTTTTCCTTCTACTAAAGTATAACTGATGTGTCGTTAATCTCACAGCCCAGTCATTTGCCATGAATAGCCCTTTATGTGAAGTGTGATAATGGGTCCATTTTGGCTTATGTATTCATCTCCTATACCTTTCTTTAGCTAAAAGCTTGTATTCTGGGGTATTTTCAAGTTTCAAAGGATGACCTCTAGGTAGAGTGTATTTTTCATTCCAGTGACATGTTCCTTTGAATGCATTGAGGAGCTGGTGTAGGAAAAGCTTTTGGAAGAACAGAGTCCAGACGTAGAGGCGTTTGAAAATGGTCCAAATCTGTGTCTGGGTGACAGCAAGGATGGGGAGCATGGGCATGTTCCTGAGGTGCTGCTTCTCAGGTGTACACACCTCATCACCCAGTAGCACAGAAGAACACCCTGTGTGTTGGGCTGAGGGACTGATTTGTTTGTTTGCCATAAGCCAAGTAGTCCTAGTCCTGTGAAATTGGACTAAGAGCTCACATAGTGCTCTCATGAGGAGCCACTGCTGGGAAAGGAGCCCCAGCAATGGCTCTGTGGGCTTCAAGGGCACTTGCTTCATTATGCTGGCTGGTCAGCTAAACAAATACATCTTGGGTCCAGCCTTTTACCACACATAATGTTTTATAGAATGAAAGAGCACTTGCTTTTGAGAATGTCAATATTTTTATAGATGATAGGTAACTTAAAAATTAGTTCTCCGTTGAATCTCCTTTCCCTGTTTTTCTTTGGAGGTGCCCATGTATAGTATTACCCAATGCAGTCTATCTGGCTTTATCAAATGATTTATTTTCATGTGATATTTTAATTAGCCTTCATGACATATTTAGGTGACCCACCTCTTGCTAAAGTTTGGAGCTGATGTGAATGCAAGTGGTGAAGTCGGAGACAGACCTCTGCATCTGGCTTCTGCCAAAGGCTTTCTCAACATCACAAAGCTCCTGATGGAAGAGGGAAGCAAAGCTGATGGTAAGAAAAGATATTTTTTAAAATCACCTTTCCCATTGTATTTTATAGATGGAGTTCTGAATCTTGATGAAGTTATTTTATAGATGGAGTTATTGAATCCTGAATTTAGCTTCCCAACATGTACTCTGTGTGTTTGTGTGTCACCTTGGGGCAACAGAAACAAAAGAAACAGCAGTTGGAGAATTTTCTTCACTTCTTAAGTATGCATGGTTTGTCATCTCATGTGCATTAGGGGTGAAAAACAGCACCAGGAAGCAAGATTAACATCCAGCAGTACCTTATGATTAAGCCAATGGTCCAATCAGAGCACTCGTAGCTGCGTGTATGTATCTCCAATCAAAATGACTGAAATGTGTAGTGAAATCCTAGGGAATGAGATACAGATGAAGGATATTAAGTCAAAATTATACAGCAAGTAATTTAAAATAATTCGGATGAGAAGTTGAAATGGTTTACAAACAATTCCCCAGAAAATGGAAATTTTTTTAGCACACGCTTTATTATGCTTCACAAGCTTCATATGTTTTTTTGGGGACATTTTCCTCCAGACAGTGTGTGTGTGAGAGGCACCATGGGCTGGGCAGGTACAAAGTTCTGCCAGCGTGCTCTTGGTGCCCTGTGAGGGTCAGGAATCGGTGTGTTCTTACAGGTGATCTCACACTGAAGCCAGTAACACTCTAACATCACAGTTCAGTGCTGTATGCTTTGCATGTGCAGCAATTTAAATATTCTCCATTGTAATTAATATGAGCA